CCATGGAAAGAGATTATATAAATTGTGTCAAAAAGTAGTCTCTTTTGAAACAAGCTCCACTCCCCACTTATTGTGGGGTTTTTTTCTCTCACCACTAGAGAATTGGTTTGCCCTTTACTGTTCTGTATAGCCCACAACCCTGATTATCTCTCAATCAAGTCTGATCCTGATTATTTTTTTGAGCTCAGCCAAAGTTTGGCTTAAAAGCAGCTACCTGCAGTGCTTGCTCTTCTTGTAAATTGTTTTATGATGGGCTTAAATTCCAAGATGGTATTACACAATATATTTGTACTGCAGTGCTTTGTATTTGCAAAAAGAATTGAAACAGGGTATGGCTATTTTGAAAAATTAGAGCGGTGACATTGAACTTTACCACTCAGCAATAGGAGATGGGAACTATAGAATTATTTTGCCCATAATCACTGGAGTGAATTTTGGATATAGAAAAGGGGAAATCACTTCAGTGATATCTGTTGTGAAATACTGATTTTGGATTATGTAAACTGTACTTGTAATCTTCTTGGGTTAAGTAAATTGGTTATGTTTGCAAATATTAAATTGGGCAGGGGGATATAAACTAACGAGATAATGAAGAGCTCCAAAACAGGTCTCTCGAGTCAACGAATAGAAAATGGTTTAATACAGCAACTGTATTTTAAATTAGTTTATAAATTGCTGTTGTCCAAATAATAGAATGTTTATTGTTTGTTTGACAGCTAACAATTCCATCTTTGTGGTTATTTCAAACCAGAAAATTTAACCCTCCAGTGGAAAAAATATATGTAATAGTGGCGAATATCTGTAGCTCAGGCATAGGTTGAGGGGTGAACGTTCGTTCTCCAAGCTAAAAAATCCACAAGCTTGGAGAACGAACCTTCACCCTCCCCCCAAAAATATTCCATTGTAATGCTCTTTAGATTTGATCCCAAGAGCAAAGGCTCGGTCTTTGCACTTAGCCAAGATTAAGCAACATGATTTAGCAAGATTTTAAATAGCACACAAATGATCTGAGTGATACTTTTCTAAAATTGACATCCCCACATCCTTAAGCAATTTTTAATCTTGCTAAACTCTGTTGCTCAATTATGGCTTTTCTCTTTGACTAGCACTGTACAGTATTACAGTGGAGTAATTCTTATATCATCTGTAGGGATGAGGGCAGATAGATTTCCCCCCCCCCTTTGTTTGACTGGTATGATAAAATGAATCACCTGTGGTTTAGTTGAAAAGGGCATGATTTTGGGCCATAAAAAATGGAATAGAGATTCGGTCAATGGAGTCTACACCTGGGGAAGTTTAAGAAAAGCACCCTGGAAGAAGGCACCAACCAAATACTGCTATATTACTGCCAAGAAACTATGTGGGGGCATCTATGAAGTCACCAGAGACTGCTCAGCTTGAGAAAAAAGTATAAGTTGGTCCACATATCTGTAGTATAATGGCTTGAGTTTTGCCTTTCTCATAGTTTTTTAAGGCATTCTCTAGTTTCCTTCCAGTTTGCAGGTGATTTTTATCCTCATCCATTTCCTCTTCCATTCTACAAAGAGAAGTTGAGTTTAAAGTCTGACTGTATTAGCTGATATGGGTAGTGAAGGTGGCTGTAAAATTAAACCCGCCTTCTGTATAATCCTTTAAGGCAATTTTCGTCTTAGCAGTGATCCACCCCAAGAATTTCCGTGTTCACCATACAGGAAATGTCTGGTGAGATTATCCAAAGGTTACCTGCAGCAATTAGTGTGGTATGATAGACAACTCTGTAATAGGGCCCAAAATTGCTATTCTGAATGAACTTTGACTTTTGGCAAACAAGCTAGAAAATTAGAACCAAAATAAATCACACAGGAGTACCAAACATCTTAAATGACTTATAAGTGTCCCCAGCATCACATGAAGCTGGCTTCTGACATGCAATGTCAATGGGGAACCCAGCAGGGAAGGTTACAAGTCACAGTCATGTGATGTCTCATTTAATGACACTGGTGATTTGGTTAACAATTGCAGCAAAAAGGTTGTAAAATCAAGTCTGGTCATGTGATGCCCTCTTAATCTCTTTCTTACCTCGCACACATGATAAAAATCTAATAGTAACTTGGGGGCATGTAATGGTTTATGAAGGTATGGCTTGAAAGCTGTATTATGTTCTCAGTACCAGGTAGGAATGTAGTCTTTTGTAAAAAGTATTATATTTCCTGCATGAAGCCTAAGTCTGGTTCTTTATACTAAGGTAAGAAATTTCCAAAAGGACTTGTGCTAAATTAAATCAATATGACTCCCATGGAAAGGAACTTGTAGCGAGTTCTGGATTGAATTTTTGGTTTCCTTAAGCAGATTGCTGAAATGAGGTCTATTCCAATAAGTCTTTGAAGAAGGGAACACGGCAAATCCACTTGTACTATATGAGTAAAGATGTGGTATCTTTCATCATAGCTATTTTTAAAGTTGATAAAAATGGCAAGGAACTTACATATTTGTATGGAGTGACCACCATTGGATCAGGATATTCCGTCTCCTCACTTTTTGAAGTGTCTCAGCACTTCAAAGACTACCTAGTGATACTATATAGCAAACATGTCAAACTCATGATGTCATGTGACATTGCGTAACGTATTGGGACTGTTTTGCCACTGCCGGCAATGGGGTGGGCGCGGCTTCCATATGACGCGTCCGGCCTGCGGGCTGGCAGTTGACACCCCTGCTATATAGGAAGGGTGTGCAGCTTTTTTCAAAGTTTTTAAGTAGGTTTTAAAGGTAAAGGTGTGTGTGAGAGAGATCCCCAGAAGTGGATTGTTTCCATCCCTAATATTAAAATTATTTTTAAAAAAAACCCTGAAATCACATCATTGAAATGTTGTTGAATCTCAGCTGATCATGATGTTCTGTAGGACTTGTGCCAGGTTGCTAGCTATTTTATATAATTACTGCATTAAGATATAGTGCATGGATTATATTTAGATTAATACATTTTTCTATCCAGACTTAGCATTTCGTGACTAATTTGAATCTCACAATTGTCCTTTGCATCTACGTGTTCTCTACCACTCAGCTATTGCTGTCAGTGTAAATACAACAGAGGCTTTCATGTTGATACAAACTCATGACTTAACTTCTGAAAACTTCACGTTGTAATTTGTGGTTAAATAGAACTATGAGTGTGTCACTAATTCTTTTGTCTTCTCCATTAAATCAGAAATTGGTTGAGTGGGCAGAACAGTGATTAGCTGAAAGGAGATACAAACAAGTTTGTTCATTTTTACTGGTCTGTGTCTATCAGTACATAATTTTTTTAGAATTTTATAATTTATTTCTCTTCTTGGAGTAGAAGAACTGAATTACCCCAAAAAATAGTGGCAAAAGAGAAAGAGTTTTCCCAGATTCTGTGTCATTTCAGGGTTGCATTAAATTCCACAGGGTCAGTTTATTGATATTGGTGAGGAGAATTTAAATCAACATTATCACTGGGAATCATCTGAGCAGAACATCTGGCAGTCAAGTGTTAAGGGCATCCTTAAGGATTTTTACAGACTTGATCACAAGTGCCATTTTCCTCTTATTACATTGACTAATTTGAGATGAAGCAGATGGGAATTCTGTAAGACTTTCGTTTTGACTTAATTGGAATGCAAACTAACTGCAGAGACGGTCAAGCTTCTGTAAATTTGTCTTCTTAGAGACACACCTATCATATTAATTCAAATCCATTGTGTCTGTAATGGAGTGTTCCCATCCTCTCCTCTTTTGCCTTCTTTCTACAGATGTGCAGAATCCTCCAGATGAGATTTTACCAATCAGGAGCAGATTATCAAGGGGAGGGGAGATGACCCTACTGATAGAACAGAAATGGTCTCTTGTCATAAATGCCCTACTAAGGTACTTTTATCTTAGTGTTGAATTTATTTAATAAAAATCATAGGCCTCTTCTTTCATTTCCAGAAAACGATAAAGGACAATACATCTCTCCTTTCCATGACATTCCAATATATGCAGACGCTGACAAGGTAATTTAACATGGTTCCTTTTCTTCTTTCACCTGTTCCTCTGAACTATATGATTAAGTGCTAGATAGGTAATTAGTTCATCTTAAAGGAAAGAAATTGTATTGTATTATATATATTTTAATAACAAGGCAACCGTTACTTAACAGTTCACTTAGTGACCTTTCAGAGTTATAACATTGCTGAAAAAAGTGACATGACCGTTTTTCACACTTACGACCATTGCAGCATCAACATGTCACATGATCAAAATTTGGATGCTGGACAATTGGTTCATACTTATGATAGTTGCAGTGTCCTGGGGTCATGTGATCACTTTTTGTAATTTTTTTTGACAAGCAAAGTCAATGGGAAAGCCGGATTCACTTAGCAACTGTGGCAAGAAAAGTCTTAAAATGGGGCAAAACAAGTGTCTCACTTAGCAACAGAAATTTTGGAGTCAATTGTCATAAATCAAAGACTACCTGTAGTTTTATTGACCTTCATTGCTTAAGTAGGAGGAGTCTGAATTAAGTATTCTGGTGTAGAGTAAAAGAAATTCTGAAGCAGAATTGCAGCAGGAAATCTTAACTTATTCTGCTGGTTATAAATAATTATTTTAGTCATAGACTGAAGTTTGCTTGTTTTACTGTAGAAACTGCTTCCAAGGGAGAAAAATATGAAATAATTCTATCTTCCCACACTCAATGAAATATAGACTAAAGGGAGTGTTTCCTTGCTTTTAGACCAACTTCTATTGCGTAATACAGAGAAAATGAAAGCTTTGTTGCTAATTTTTTTTAAAGCTGATTTGATTTCCAAAATTAGTGTTGGGAATTTGGCTTCCACATTTTGAGAAATTGTTGGTATATAAGAGACATTTCCCTACTATTTATTTGGAATTTTCTCATCCTAATAACCAGTTTATTTTATATGATTTATGTGGATGTATGTCTTATACTCTGGGTGGGTATACAAGGATTGAAAACACACACTCAAAATCCCACAACATGTAACTGTGGAACCCAGGATAAATAATAACACTGATTAATTGAATATATGCCATCAAGTCGTCAACTCTTATAACTCCTTTTCGTGAAGGGAAAAAACATATCGGCAGGAGAGCTTGTCTAATCTTCCCATCTGAGAAGGCCAGTCAGATCCTCAATGAAAAGCTAACAAGGTTGGGGCCTTGCTGAACTATGATTTGCATCCATAGTTTAAGAACTTGTGTAAAATTAGCTGCTTCAGATGTAATAATATCCAATAAACTGCATCATATAGAACTCAATTTTCATCTTTTCTGTCTCTGGTTTGCCATATATTATTGTGCTTTTTTAAATCCACATTTTAACACAACTGAACTGGGAAATTATTATAATTAGCTTACAAAACAGAATAGTGTTTGAATATAATGTCTTTGTCCATCAGACTAAGAATATTTAGTTTGGAATGAACTGGTCTCAAGCTTGTAGCTAGGAGAGCTTTGGGTGGGAGAAATCCCTTAATTTCTTTCATCCTCCCAACATGATTAAATGGTGTCCCTGGCTGGTTTAAACCACTGCTGTGCCAGACATCTAGATTAGCTACAGGCCTGATTTATGCTTCCTTGGAATTTTACATACCTTTTATTCCAGCTGCTATAGGAACTCAGCAAATAAGCCTGAGACATTATGTTTTAGTGGTTCAGTGAAAGTGTCAAGTTAAATATAATATTTGGGCTTCAGACAGAACAGAAATGTTCTTATGAACACATGGCCTCCAGGTTAGGCATCAATACTGCATGAACAAACAGTTGAGATAATCAGAATTTGTTTATACCTCAAAAATCTAAATGCCTCAAATGTACTTACTGCCACATTCTTTGTCAGCAGTCAGTTTTAATTTATAAAATAAATAGGAAAAAAGATGTGAGAAAAGAAGGAAAGCGTTTGGAAGACTGAAAATCTGCATGCACTGACGGCGGCTTAAAGATGAGTTCTGAGGATAAACAAGAATAGCCAGCTTTCAAGTTAGAATTGCAAGGTCATAACCCCAACACAGCTTATAATAGCTTTGTAGTAACATTTTGATTGCATGTCAGAGTTAGGTGAAATGCTGAAATAGGAAGCAGAATTCAAAATTCTACCTAGAACAAAAGCATACATTATTATCTCTAATCTCTAGCACTTTCCAATATTCATGTTGTCTTTATAAACTTAATAGAATTGTAATTCACTCTGGTATTGGAAACATTTTAAATGTATTCCTACCTGGATTGCTTCCATCATTATATTCCAAGTACATATTGCTTCACTGAACCACGTAAAAATGATCTGAAATTTTATATAACAAATGTTCAATACCTTTTGTTTCTTCTGAAATTTTGCTGAAATTACTTATCTTTCCTGACTTGCAGAATTTGATGATGATTCTTCTCAATGGTTTCTTGAAGCATTTCTGTCAAATAGTTGCTTAACAGCATAAATGGACAGACCTAGACAGTTGAAAGGTCTTTTAAATAACTTAATCTTTGAAGGAGAAAAATTAGCCTAAACTGTGTTGTGTTATAATGTAATCTAATCTGCCCTCTTGTCCTTAAGCTTATGGAAAACCAAGATTAGGCTTCAGGACTGCTTAAATCCTTTTAATGGGCAGTGAATAATCCAAGAATAAACTGATAAGTAGGAACTGGCTCCAGATGTGCATAGCCCATATATTCTGTTTTCCAGTAATTATTCTGTTATTGCCTTCTCGAGTGTATGAAAGATATTTGCTGTTGCATTACCAAATGGGAAGATTTTGGGGCTGTCCCCAGTTCTGTGGTGTCAATAAAGTTTTGTGTCTGAATATCCAGAGAGCCATCTCCCTTAATTAATAAAACAAACTCCAAGAGAAAATTTCTTCTACAGCTTCTTTTTCTTAAAAGTCAAGGGTTTCTTTTCATGCTAGGTAAGGAAAAGTGAGCATCTCCTCTCAATTGAAAGTTATATTTGGATAATAGCTAACACTCTGGGCAAAATTTGTGGGCAGGAAGGAAAAAAAATGCATAGTTATAAAATTCATGGGAATGGAAACATTTCAGGGAGTTCCATGGGATGATGATTGCTGGGTGACAATTCAGGAAGCATGACTGATAACACATTTCTCTGTGTTACATTTTATATGTACTTTGCTGAATTTATGTTCTTTTCAGCATGTCTTCAACATGGTTGTGGAAATACCTCGATGGACCAATGCAAAGATGGAGGTAATACAACTAGAGCACTGTAATTGATGGCTTCATTAATTACTTCATCAAAAAATAGTTTATAGGTAGTCCTCGACTTATAACAGTTCGTTTAGTGACCGTTCGAAGTTACAGTGGCACTGAAAAATGTACTTACGACCACATTTCATACTTATGACCATGGTAGCATCCCCATGGTCACGTGATCAAAATTCAGACACTTGGCAACTGACTCATATTTATGATGGTTGCAGTGTCCCGGGGTCACGTGATCCCCTTTTACAGCCTTCTGACAAGCAATGTCAATGGGGAAGCCAGATTCACTTAACAACCGTGTTACTAACTTAACAGTGGCAGTGTTTCACTTAACAACTGTGGTAAGAAATGTCGTAAAATGGGGCAAAATTCAGTAAACAACTGTCTTGCTTAGCAACAGAAATTTTGGGCTCAGTTGGTCGAAGTCGAGGACTAAGTATATTAAATTTTGATTTCCCCGCTATTAATAATATATAATCTAATACAGGGGTCTTCAGACTTGGCTCTTTTATGACTTGTGGACTTCAACTCCCAGAATTCCTCAGCCAGGCATGCCTGGCTGAGGAATTCTGGGAGTTGAAGTCCACAAGTCATAAAAGGGCCAAGTTTGAAGACCCCCGATCGAGTAAATTTTTTAAAGCTAAAGTCCTATGTATACGTACGTGGAACCTTTTCCAGTGAGACCTACTCTCTCTGTTTTTGTGTGTATTTATGGTTCCTATCATTCTGGCTATTTATCTTGCTAGAAATATTAAGTAAAACATCTACAAAGAAAGTTACCTTTTTTCTTAAAGGCTTTTTTAAAAATTGAGTACTAAACTAAGTAAATTCTGTTTTAGATTGCAACTAAGGATCCTCTAAATCCAATTAAACAAGATGTGAAGAAAGGAAAGCTACGTTACGTTGCTAATGTATTTCCCCACAAGGGATATATCTGGAACTATGGCGCTATTCCACAGGTGCTCTAATATTACCCTATCTTTTTTATGAATTTCAATAACAAACAACACTAATGAAGGGGAACTTTGTACCACTGCATAGACAACTGTGGGCAAGCTCTCTGGAGGAAGAAGAAAACACCTTAGGTTGTAAACAAGCAAGCTGCCTGTGTTAGAACAGAAAGAACAGCTTTATTAAAGCATAAGAAGCCTTAAAAATACAGAGAGCTCTCATAAAGCCAGCATAGATTGAATGAATTAAACCAATTTGATAGTAATAATAGGAATGCTCCACGAATCAATTTTGGTTTAATATTTATTCAGTTGATGCTGTCTTTTAAATTTGTCCATGGAAACTATATCAAATTCTTAACATTTATTCCTATAGCATGATTGTTGTATTTTAATAATAATAACCCATTCAATGAATTGGCTTAAAGCACATTTAATGTGCTTTAATCCAATTCATTTAATGGATTTATTATTAAAATTTTAATAATAATAAATCCATTTCACAGACTAGTAGAGAGAAATGGGTGTCCATCAGAGCAGAACGTCAGGATTTTACACATGCATATTTTAGGTATTTTAAGCACAATCTTATGGGTGCACAGAGTAATACTGTGGATAGATTTTGTTTCCATTGTATCCAAATCCGAGATACGTTAAAATGGAGTGCTTTTATTATTGTTTTTTCTGTCAATTTCCTTCTGCCTGATCTTTCTCTTCTTCTGTTACTTATGGGAAAATATAATGTCCCTTCCCTTTTCCTTTGGACTTGTTGGCTTTGTGATGTTTTATTGTTAACCTCTTTCTTAGGTTTCAAAGCTGTCTTGATAATAAGTTCACTTTTCAATAGAAAATGGCCCATAACTTGCTTTGTATTATCTCATTAAGGATTTATTCTGATATCCCTTTTATTCCACAAGCTGGTATCCCTGATGCTCCGGATGGGCTAGCACAGTGGTGGCGAACCTATGGCACGCGTGCCAGAGGCGGCACTCAGAGCCCTCTCTGTGAGCACGCGCACCATGCCCTGGAGATGGCAACCGTCCCTCTTCAACCAGCCGCCCGCTAACTTGCCAAGGTCCTTGTGGAGCTACGATTGAATGCGTTTCAGCATAGATGTCCACCACAAAATTGTACATTGGCTCCCGGCCGGCCTGGGGCAGGGCCAAGGCAGCGCGGGCCGTTCCCTCACTGTTTCCAGGATGGCTTCGCGGGCCACATGAAACCACTTCATGGGCCGCATCCAGCCCCCGGGCCTTGTGTTTGACATGTCCACTTTATAGAATATCTAAAGTGCAAAATACTTTTAACATGGTACAGTTTTAAATTTGAATTGAGCAGTCCTGTGCTGAGATGAAAGGAAGGTTGTGCAGCAAGTAGTTAAAGGAAACGATATTTATTTTGTAGACGTGGGAAGATCCAATGCATAAAGATGAAAATACCAACTGTGGTGGAGACAATGATCCAATCGACGTTTGTGAAATTGGAGACAAGGTAACAAAATACTTTTCAGGTGGAAATTTGGAGTTTGCTAACCATCTTTGAAATACTGCCAGTATATTACTGTGAAGATATTTGCAATCGGGCTGTTCATCTAGCTGTCACTATAAATATACGGAAAAGTGACTGGTCTTTACATGTAGAATTCTTGATTAACAACCACTTGTTCAGCAACCATTCAAAGTTATGTTGGCACTAAACAAGTGATTGTTACAACTGATCCTTGAAGTTCCAGTTGTCCGAGCATCTCTGAGGTCACGTGATCACGATCTGGGCTCTCAGCAACCGTCTCAGACTTACGATGATTGCAGCACCCCGTGATTACATGATCATAATTTATGATCTTCCTTGCCAGTTTTCCACAAGCAAAGTCAGTGGGAAAGGCAGCAGGAAATCCATCCACACATTTCCCACAGCCTTGTGCCTCTCCAGCCACTCATACATTCTCCCCACCCCCTGGTAGGAAGCACCCCAAGCCTGTATCCCCTTGCTTTCTTCCACCCAGCAGTAGCCATTTGCCTGCCAGCTAGTCTGCCTATGAACCACCTGGAACTTGCAACTTCCTGCCAGCTTCCCCACTGATTTTGATTGTTGGAAGCCAGCAAAAAGTTGCAAGGCGTGCTTCCCTTAACAGCTCACAATCCTTGGATCCTCACTGAATGAGGGCAATAGGGGCTGCTAAGCATTGCAGTTCACATAACATTGTGCTTTACGACTACATTGCTTAACAATGAAAATTCCAATCCCGATTGCCATCGTAACTTNATTACCTGTACGGAAAATGTTTAAAGGACTTTAAAGTTTCTGATAGGAAGCATATTAGCTCAATGCAATTTTAACATTTCATAAATTCTACTGGTGTGGGGGAGAGGGATTATATTTCAAACTGGCAAGAATAGTCTTTGAAACAATAAGGGCTTATCCATTATGCTGATCTTGAGTTAAAATGCCTTAGAAATCAAATCAGATAGATAAACTCAATAGAAATGATTTCATAACAAAAAACATATTTTAATCAGATTACTTGCATTTATACTGTGGTTGTTACTTCTGGAAAATACATCTTTTGTCCATTCCTATAGGTGAAAGAATGATGCTCCCTCCATATCATCTTTATAGCGGCACATCTGGTGACATCTGATGGCCCATGCTCTTCTTTAGACAAAGACATTCCAATCTGGCTTGTGTCCAGGAAGTCTCCCAATGCCCTTTAGAAACTCCTCCCACTGACCCATTAACATGGGATGACTGACTAGCTAAACTGCATTTCCCATAATCCATCTCTTAAGGAAACAGCACTTAACTCAATAAATGCCAGATATTCTAACATACTGATACATGCTCTCTAGTTAGGGTTATATAGAGCTATACGATCCAGAACATCCATCCTGTGTCCCATTAGTTCAGTGGTTCTTAAACTGTTTGACCCAATTGTATCCCTTTTCTCAAATAATGTCATTACTTTCCCACAAAACAAAAGGAGAACACCACAAATTATTGATAAATCCCCAGATTCTGTTGTTTTAATGCAGTGTCTTGGCAGCTGCAGTCCCAAACTGAATTTTTGGCTCACAAACAAGCAGTCACAAATTGCTGCATTGCCCAAATTATTGCATTTTAAGAAGTTAACAGAGAGCCTGCCAGATGCAGAAAGTACTAATCTTTCAATACAGCATTATATATTTTGGTGCAGCTACAGCAATAGAGCTGAAATGTCATGGAATGCAAACATACGCCCATTTCTATGCATAGCCTAAATATTTAAATACTATGTGGAAAGCAAATCTGGTAGATGCCCAGTGCTTATACAGTATTGTATCGGTTTGAAGATATTACTGTGAAGGCATTTCTTGGGAAAATGTAGTATGCAATGAAAATTACAATCCTAGTTGGAAATAATCAAGTAAGACTTTCCTCTTCAACCTGAGAAAAGCTCGTCTACAGAAATTGTTGTCCAAAACCAGCCTCTGAATAGGCTGCTGATTTGGTTGAAATATGGACACTGGAATTTTTCCCACAAAGTTCAGGTTGCCGCGCAGTTAGGCAGAAGAGGAAATATTGTTACTTCACCTGTTCTGGCTTAGTAGGACCAGCTGTGTGATTCATACCTAATGAGTAAATTTATTCAAACAGGTGTGCCACAGAGGCGAAATAATTCAAGTGAAGGTTTTGGGTACGCTGGCATTGATCGATGAGGGTGAAACCGATTGGAAGATCATTGCAATCAACATTAATGACCCTGAAGCTGCTAATATGAATAGTAAGTAGCTTTGAAGTGAGAATGCAGACACATTTGTGCCTTACCTTTTCCAGCTTTGAAATTCCACATGTGGAAAGTGGGTAACTGATACCAAGTAAGACTGGTATTCTACTCTTTGTGTCATTCCATTGTGTCATTCCATTATGTCATTCCATTGTGAAAGACTACAGGTCTTTGTGTCATTCCATTGTGAAAGACTACAGGTAGTCCTTGACTTAACAACAGTTCACTTAGACCAGGGGTAGGCAACCTTGGCTCTTTTATGACTCGTGGACTTCAGCTCCCAGAATTCCTGAGCCAGCATGGCTCAGCTTGGAAACCTCTCCCTCTCCCCTCAGCATGGCTGGCTCAGGAATTCTGGGAGTTGAAGTCCACGAGTCATAAAAGAGCCAAGGTTGCCTACCCCTGACTTAGACCGTTCAAAGTTACAACAGCCCTGAAAAAAGTGACTTGTGACTATTTTTCAGACTTACCACCATTGCAACATCCCCATTGTCGCGTGATTTACATTTGGATGCTTGACAACTGACTCACATTTATGACAGTTACAGTGTCCTGGGCTCATGGGATCTCCTTTTGCGACCTTCTGACCAGCCAAGTCAACGGGGAAACCAGATTCACTTAGCAACCGTGTTACTTATTTAACAACTGCCGTGATTCACTTAACAAATGTGGCAAGAAAAGCCGTAAAATGGGGCAAAACTCATTTAACAAATTTCTCACTTAGCAACATACATTTTGGGCTCAGTCGTGGCTGTACGTTGAGGACTACCTGCACCTGTATATAAATAGCCATCATGCAAAGTTGAACTTCATTTTTGAGTACTATATTGATCTGATCTCCTTTTGGCTTCCTACTCTTACATTTGAAATATCCGTAATTAATGCACATCGATGTACAGTAGAATTCTTGATAGAATTTAGGCTGATTTTTACGGGAATGGTCACATTTCTTCTGCAAGACGTTCCCCAGGGAAATCTAAGAATAAAATATATTGGGACACTCAAGCAAAACCTAGCAGATTCTGAATATATGCCTTTTAAAAATTTAAGATATTGGTGATGTCAGAAGAATTAAGCCTGGATACCTGGAAGCAACTGTGGACTGGTTTAGACGATACAAAGTACCTGATGGGAAGCCAGAAAACCAGTTTGCATTCAACGGAGAATTTAAAGATAGGGTATGTATATATTTTGTCTACTACTGGCCACTGTTGGAAACTGCTTGCACTTTTCCTGCAAACAATGCCAAAAGCGTACAAAAGTATGTCTGCGGCTGTTTTTGTTCAGAACTGCATTCAGAAATTGTGCTTAACTACAGAAGAGGTGATGACTACACAAGAAAAAAAATGACTTTTTTTTCTTTTCAAATTAACTAGCCAGCGATGCTTCACTACACTGTTAAATCTCCCAGTCCAAAACTTTATGGTGCAGTGTAACAATATGGTAAATAAAATATATGTTTGTGCATGTATGTAGTTATGTATGTTGTGGTTATATATCAGGCTGCTGAGAAGAGACTGAATTTGTTTCCCATTTTAAATCCTAGGACTTTGCAATTGATACTATCAAAAGCACTCATAACTACTGGAGGGCTCTAATAATTAAAAAAACAAATGCAGGAGAGATTGCTTGGTAAGTTGTTATCCTATTTCTTTCAGGAGTGCCTTGCAAAGATGAATCAAATGAGTCTTAACCTGTGTGAAAAATTAATGCTTTAATATTTTTATGGAATTTATATCTTACTTTATCCCTAAATATGTTTCATTTTAATGGTATATTTCAAGATATTCATATTACTTAAATGCATTGGAGAAAAACCTGTCTTATTTTTTTCTTTCTTTTCCAGCACAAATACAACTTTGACAGATAGTCCTTTCTGTTGTAGTCAAAATGCCGCAGCAGCCACTGTGTCAGCGGTAAGCAGTTCTGATAAACATTTGTTCCCTTCATGACTTGGGACATTTACTGGGAAAAGCTGTGTGTATTCTGGGCAAACTAAGAAAGGAAAATTCCCAGATCAGATTCAAGGTCTAGTTACAACAACATTCTTCTCCCAGAGACTTCACGATGGCTGGAGAACGCCCATAAGCCGGGCCTGAAGTCAGTAGTGCTCCTCCCACTTATCATAGTAGCAATCACAATGCCATTTCTGATGCTGAAGATCAGCTATTCTTTTTGTGATTAATCAACATTGATAAGCCTTACTTTCTACCCCTATACTATCAGTTGCAAAATTTAGCCCCGAGAATCGAATGTGTATCTTACTAACTCCACTTTACAGATAGTTCTTGCTTAATTACCACAATTGGAACTAGTATCTCCATTGCCATGCGAAAGATCACGTAACTGTGATGGATATATGACATCAGTTCCCATTTGGTCATTAAGCAAGTCAACTCACCGTCCTTAAGTGAGACATCACATGACCACAACTTGCCATTTTACTGCCAGCTTCTCCTTTGACTGCTTGTCAGACTATAAAGCATGCAAACGGTGATCACGTGGCCATGGACTTTGTGCCAGTTGTAAATATCTTCCATTGGCAAAGTGCCAGAATCTTGATCACCTGCCCATGGTGATTGACACTGGACAGTTGTAAGTGCAAGGACCAGTCATAAAGTTATTTTTCAGTGCAGTCATAATTTAAGATGTTTGCCAAACAGGGCGTTTATTAAGCGAGGACTGACACAATAGGAGAAAGTATGCTTTATCTTTGCTGTGAGTTTTTCTTTTTCCCAAAACTCCTTTTAAGTAAATTTAAATTATTATTTTATTTTATTTATTCATTCAGTTTTTATACAGTACCTGTCCAACTCAATCAAGTGACTCTAGTTGGTTTACAATTTAGTTGTCTCTCTGATCTTTTCTACAGGCTGACTATGCTAAGATTTTCTTCTGTTCATCTTGTACATCTGTTTAAAAAAAAAAAAGAATTGTGTTAGAAGAAATGCAAAATAATGTTTAATTGATTTCACTTAGAATTGGTTTGCAACAATTGCAAGATTCTTTTTTCTCCCTAATATTGGAAACTCAGGCAGAAGAAAAATCACAGTCTAATAAACAAGTCTCAGTTTTTCAGACATAAAAGTTAAGTTTTAGAGACACTTTCATTCTCCACAGTCAGCTTCTTCCAGCTAGCATACAGTCAGTAAAGATAATTCCAAAACTATTTTTTAAATATTTATTATAAAAGAATTTGCTACTGATTTATAGGCAGTTCTGATTTAAGTAATAATTCTGAATAAAATATCTGTTTCAGCTACCTCCTTGTGGGACCTGTAATCCATTACCAGCTGAAGGTAAATTATCTTAATTTGGAATGAAATATGAATATATGTATTTTTGTGTTGGGAAATGACAAGATTGACCATTTTATCATATTAACCTAAAGATGCAGAATAAATTTGTACCTTATAATTTGCTGTGTTTTGCAAGACAGGTTTAAGGCCAGAAACAGCCAGTCATTTGATTAGGATATTAAACCTGGCTAAATGTAAGCCAGAGTAAGACATCTATCCATTAGTTCTATGGCTATGCCTAACAGTAGGTAGAACACAATTTAGGTTGCAGTATTGGTATTGATGTCTAGTAAGACATCTTGTTTTCTGTTAAGAAAGAATTATTACGGTATTTTAAAGCTAATAAAAAATTTAAGAGCATAAGTTTATAAAATTTAGAATCTGATTTATCCTATATGTAACTTTGATTGTACTGCAACAATTTAGCATGATTGCTGTTCTGGAAACTTTACATTTAAAGCTGAATGTAGATTCTGTTGCTTTATAGTGCTATACTATTAAGCATTTAGAAAACTAGTTATTAAACCTCCCGCATCTAAATTCATATAAATCTCACAGGAGCTCAATCAATATATTTACCATCTCTGTTTGTGATCACTTCTCTTAAAGAAGCTTTCCCATCATGTTCTCAATATGCATGGAAAGAGTTTCCCCATACATTGATAAAGGAATGACAATGCAGATTGTCAGATGTCCAGATCATGTGCTGGCAAAGGCTGTTCAGCTAACAGTCATGCCCGCTTCAATAAACAAAGTGTATTCAATGAAAGTATTTTTGCTCAGGTTTTCTCTGCTTCTGTCATTTTTCAGAGAAATTGCCTCTGAATAATTTACTTCTGTGAAGCCATTTACAATAGTTACTATAGCTTGAAACAGATGATGCTGACATTTTTTATTATTTCCCCTATTTCTTTTCTCTCCAACCAGTGGACCGGTGGTTCTTTTGCCAGTGAAATTTGACCAAAATGACAAAAGTTACAGAAGCAGCTGCCTACTCATCAAGATATTTGTGCAGGACACTTGTGAAGAATTAGCTGAGAATCCAAAACAATATGTTTATAAATAAGTAAATTATGACTCATAGTCCACTGTATGCATTCAAAAAATATGAGATTAGATGATGTAAAATACCAGCTAAAGTCTTCAAATATACATCATGAAACTCACTCATACATTATTTTGCTGTTTGCTAGGTTTATCTCAGTGTTCTCCAGTATAAAAATTTAGGTTGTTTTTTTCTCCTCCTATCAGACAGGTTTATTTTAACAGATGAAGGGGGAAAACCCCACACACTGATTCCTTGACGTGCGTATGCCATTTTAAAACTTAAGGTTCCTTACAAAATCAACAAACCACGGAACTGAGATTAAAGTACAATGTCGAGCCAGAGAACACAACAGTGCTGCTGCTGATGATGACTGCTTCCATTCATTGATGCAGTTAGTAGATAAATAATAAATTAACAGTATGCTTATATGGCAAACCAATATAAAATGACATAGGTACCAGTTATTATATAAAACAGTGAACAAGCTAAAATAATAGCCCGAGATTGCCCATTTGTTCTCGAAGCAGTGTTTCTTTATTGAGGGGTCCTTGGTGCAAACGTTTTGTTGCAGACAAACTAGGTAACATCATTAGTGTATTTATGTTTCTTTAGTCTCAGTGCTCTGTTGGCTTCTTCTAATGATGTCTGTGGGTGGGCTGAGGCCAATGCAGGGATGAGCAACTGTTGCCTCCAAGATGCCTTTATGTGGCTCTGGGGCCCATCGCATCCCCTAGCATAAATGTTGAAAACTGAAAAGAGTTTTTTAAGTGAAAAAAAACAAAAAAAATAAAATGTAGCCCCTAAAATGGGCATACAAGAGATCCCAGGCTCTGATTCTTTAAATCCAAAACATCTGCTTGCATAAGCATACTCTTCCCTATAGCTTGCATAGGCATACTTTCCCCTACAGCCTTCCACATCCTTGGGAATTCTTGGCTTTTTCTGCCTTTTTCAAAGCTTATCAGAGCAGGAGAAAAAATCATCACTTCTGCAGGCTTTACTCAGCAGCTGTTCTGCTAACTAGGAATACACATCTATGGATATGTGCATTGCAGACAGAACAAAATAGAACTCTTTCAGTTTAATCCCTAAAATAATTCAATCAAGGGAACTTAATCCACATCTATGTTCTTTTAATTCTCCCAACCTTTTGTAAATGGGGCAGTAATCTTACCTGATTAAATTCTGACTCAGGCTTCGGAATTTGATTTTCCCTAGCTTTGATGATCTCTAAACATTACCTCGGCTGACAGGTGTCGCACTGATGAACTACTACCTATGAAAACCACTCTAGTTCTGCTGCCTATTTGTGATAGCCCCTGAATTTTAAGATTCTACATCTTACATCAGAGGAGGCATTTTCAAACTCATGCTGAGTTTGCCTAAAAATAATAAAATGAATTTGTGCAACTCCTGCATGATTTCATTGGGATTAAGGTTTGTTTATTTATTGAAACCATGGGTGAGAAAGAAAGATGGTACCAAATTTCATAATTTTAATCTATCAAACAAAATTCAAAGGATCTTAAAGACTATAAAATAATGCTATTTCTTTAGAAATTAAAGATGGCAATAAAAATTAAAACCATATTTTAATGGATCGGATGAGCTGGATTTCTTATGTACAATTTTTTAATTTCTGTATTTTATTTTGAAGACAGCCATTTTCATTCACTAAAGGAAGTGGGGAAAGAGATGGCTTTTAAAATGGCTCCTGAAATGCAGCTTGCTCAGTACGTACAAAGATCTGAATCGTGCAGGCCATGATATTCCCTGTGACACTCCATGGAAGTGGAAGTTTAAAGACTTTAAAGAAGCAGGGTAGGAAAAGCATTGACGCCTTTGAACGTTATTGTTGGAGAAGACTTCCGAGAATACTGTGGACAACCAAGAAAACAAATAGATGGATCACCTAACAAATCAACCCAGAGTTTTCGCATGAGGGCTGATTACTGAACACCCAAAACACAGTCACGTGACCATGGAGGGGGGATGGCCATTGCAATTTCGGAGCCAGATTGTAAGTATCCAAAGGGAGATCCATTGGAACTTTGAATGGTCACAAAGTAACTGGTCATAAGTTGAGGACTATCTGTAGCATAAGTCATTTATCATATTTAAATGGCCGCCCATCTACAAAACGGGATGTACAATAGTGAATTAAAAAGAAAACCCAATAAATATAAAAACAGTCATTTAAAAACAATAAAAAAAATGGACACAAGCAGGGAGGATGTTAGTTGTTGTAAGGGAGCTATCACAGGATCTCTGGTCCCCTGGGATTCCCGGCTTTATGGTTTTGAAAGTTTTGTGGAACATTGAAAGAGACAGAACTAACCATTTCTGGGGTGGGGAGAAGATTCTATAATACAAGATTCCTGGTACACACCAAGTGTAATTTCCTTCTCTGCCATTTCTGGTGGGACAAGCAAATATAATCTGGGAGAGATGATCCCTCAGATAACTTGGTTCCATGTTATGAAAGGCTTTAATAGTCAAAACCAGCAGCTTGAATTAGACCCAGAAGAACACTGGCAATTAATGCCGCTCACAGAGTAGAGATTTAATGTTGGCTTTCTAGGGAAACACATAACTGCCCATGATGTTGCATTTTGCATTAGGTGAAGTTCCCACATACTCGTTTTAAGGACAGCTTCATGTTGATTCTAGGGATCTTTCTTTCTAATCCAAGCTTCCTGACTCCAATCTTTCTGACAAGATTATTACATCTGCATTTCTGCAGATCTGGTTTCTGTTTGGGGCAGAGAGACTTGGGGGGGTGGGGTTTCTGCCTTTAAAATCCTTTGGGGAAATATATTCTGCCTTTTTAATATTTCCCCCCCAAAAAATTCTCTGGATTCTTTCCACACTTAGAAAGGTAGAAAATCACTTTATATACAATTTAAACATATTGGGCTTCAAATGAGTTCTTTCACTGATTAACATCATTTGACACATCTCTGATGCAGCACGCATACTTAGTAACTTTAGTATGTTATATTCCATAGTTTCCCGTAATATCCTTTGGTATGATTTATTAATGCTCATTTTCATATTCAGGACCTGTGTCCCACATTATAATGAGTTTGCAAATAACTAAAGTTCAAATCAGTGTCCTTGACAGGTTTAAACCAGTTCTCTTATGAAGCTATACAGTTTTCTTTGTTTCTCCAAGAACTAGAAACATTAGATAACCTTTATTGTCATTTTTTTACTGTGAGCACAATGGCACACATCAAAAATAAAATTTAGTTGCCCGCTCTCAAAGTGAAACATACATGACACACACCTAAACATACTATGTACTACATATGTATAGACCCACACCCCTACATATACATAACAAATAAATATTAAATACTGTCCATCTTGAATATATAACGGAAGGAGGAAGCTTGAGAGTTCACAAGGTTAATTCTGTATGGAATGAAACTATGGCTGAATCTGGATGTTCTGCTACGGATACCACGAAGCCTCCTCCCAGAAGGTAACAAGGAAAACAGGTCGTAAAGAGGATGTGTAGTGTCCCAGATAATCTTATGGACCCTGCTCAAGCAATGCTTCTGTGCTATGTCCTGGATGGGAGGGAGGGAATTGCCAATGATCTTTTCGGCCATTCTCACCACTCTCTGCACTGTCTTCCTGTCTGAAGTAGTGATGCTTCCAAACCAGACTGTGATGCTGTATGACAGGATGCTCTCGATCATCCCCCTGTAGAAAGTGGTCAGGACAGGGGAAGGAAGATGTGCTTTTTTCATGTGATGCAGAAAATGCAGGCGCTGTTGTGCCCACTTCACCAGTGTCTCACTGTTGAGCGACCAAGCCAGCCTACTCGTTAGCTGCACACCCAGGAATTTAATGCTGGTAACCATCTCCACAGGTGAATCATTTATGCACAGAGAAGTGTGCTGTGCCTGCCTTTTCTGAAATCAACAATGATCTCTTTGGTTTTTCTGGTATTTAAAACTAGGCTGTTTTCCTTACACCAGTTCACCAACCCTTCAACCTCCTTGCGGTAAGCTTCCACCTTGTCATCCTGAATAAGGCCCACTACTGTTGTATCATCTGCAAACTTCACAATATGGTTGGTGGCAAATCTAGCACAACAATCATGGGTCAACAGGGTGAATAGCAGCGGACTTAAGACGCAGCCTTGAGGAGAACCTGTGCTCAAGAAAATGGTATTAGAGGTATTTGTTCCAACTTGCACATATTGGTGCCTGTTGGTAAGAAAATCAAGACTCCAGTCACACAAAGGAGTGTTTAAGCCTAAAAGGCCCAGTTTGGCTATTAGATGCTGGGGAATGATTGTGTAAAACACCAAACGGAAGTCGACAAACAACAAACACACACGAGTATTTTTTTTGCTGTAAGAGTGCTATAAGCTCAGATGGAGAACAGAAGAAATAGCATCCTCCTTAGAGCAATTTGGTCAGTAGGCAAACAAGTGGGTCAAATGCTGGCGGGAGGCTAGATACAATAATGTCCTTTATCAGCTTCTCAAAGCATTTCATAATGGTGGAGGTCAGTGCAACCGGATGGTAATCATTGAGGCCTGCAATTGTGGACTTTTTTTGGCACTAGCAAAATGATGGCTGTCTTAAAACATGATGGGACCATTGCCTGCTGCAATGAGAGATTGAAAATATCTGTGAGAACACAAGCCAGCTCCTCTGCGCAATCCCTGAGGACACGTCCAGGGATGTGATAGAAGTAAGTCTTCATCCTGGTTCATCCAAGCCGGGAATAAATAAGCAAACATGGTGACTGCTTTGGGAAGAAGGTTACAGTTTATTGCAAAAGAAAGATTGTCCTTGCAAGAAGGAGCAGAGGAGAAGAGAGTGAGCACATGGGTAGAAGATTTTTATCCCCTTTCTAGCCCTATTTGGAATAGTTTCCTGTTCCTGTGGTATGAACTTTGAGGCTATTTCTGAGTGTTTTTCTAGGCCTTAGTATCTGTGGTTTAATCCTATTATCATATCCTGCTTCCCAGGTGATGGGGCTAACGACTCCTAGAGTTTGGGTGGGGCATGCAGATTTTCTCTTTGTCTTCTTGATTGCTCTGGCTTCAACTTTCTGATGGTTTTACATCTGCATCTGTATGGGGCTAGCTCCTGTTTGGGATAGTTGGTTTGGGGGCAAAGTTGGTTTCTGCTTTTTAAAAATACTTTTGAGGAAATATATTTTTCTGCCCTTTTAAATATTTCCTTCTCTGGGGCTCTGACTTCCCACAGATGTTATCTGGGCCTGCTGCTTTCCAAATGTTAACTTTCCGCAGTGTTTTCTGGACAGAGGTGACATCAAATCTCAGCACTTGCTCATCAGGATGGGGCACAGCTTTCCTAGCAGGGGGTGCTCTTTGATGCCTCAAATCTACCAAAACATGCATTCAGTTTCTTGTTACTGAAAATATTAATCAAAGAGTCCCGCCCCCCACTCTGCTGCTGCCATCAGTCGGTCTCCTAAACCAGAGTTTCCCAACTTTTCTGGCTTTGTGGCCCAGTGTGAAGGGGGGGGAGAGGCGATGTTTTTGTGCAAGCGGCAAGCACGTCCACGTGCAAATGGAGCACGCGCCCACAAGCTCGGCCGTTGCTCGCGCCAGAAAATCCCGCCCATTTCGAAGCCTGCCGACCGAAACTTGTTTTCGAAACCTGCCAACCGAAAATTATAAATTGCTCAGCTTGCAGTGTTTCTCAACCTTAACCATTTTAAGGCATGTGGACTTCAACTCCCAGAATTCCACAGCCAGCATTGCTGGCTGTGGAATTCTGGGAGTTGAAGTCCACATGCCTTAAAATGGTCAAGGTTGAGAAACACTGCTTGAAAGGCAGGAAAAGTTTGCCCCTCTGACGTGAAAAAGAGCCAACCAATCACGCCCATCCAGCCCCGGGAAGCAAAGCAGCACTCCCGAGCCGGGTGAGTCAGAAGGGGCGTGGCTTGCGCCCACGGTCACGTGCCTGGAGGCGGAACCCTAGCGCGTGGCAAGAGCCCTTCGCCGGCCTTCTCTTTCCACCGGAAGCTGCCGCCGCCGCCGAAGGAGGAGATGCTACGTAGTTCCGGCGTGGAGGTGGCGGCTGGGGAGGGAGCGAGTGTGTGAGAGAGAGAGACAGCACGACGGGAGGTTTCGCCGGGAAGAGAGAGAGAGAGAATCGTTGCTGCCGCCGCCGCCGCCGCCACCGTCGTGAAAGGCTTTATCTACCTGGCGAAAGGAGCCGCTGCCGTC